GATCAGAAAGGTCGGCAGTTCAGCAGTTCAAATCCCTAGCACCACGTAACGTTACTTGTTCCAACTTCTGCCAACCTAGCAGTTCAAAAGCATGTAAAAGTGCAAGTAGAAATTAGGAACCACCTTTGGTGGGAAGGTAACAGTATTCCGTGCCCCTTCAGTGTTGTCATGCCAGCGAAATGACCATGGAGACGTCTTCGGACAGTGCTGGCCCTTTGGCTTTGAAACGGAGATGAGCACCGCCCCCTAGAGTCAGGAACGACTAGCACATATGTGTGAGGGGAACCTTTACATTTTTAATGGTTCAGTCAGGTCATCTTGCTGTGATTTATCATAATCTGCATGCAGCTGTTTGACAACGCACTGGGTAAATCCATCTGTTCCGTGTGGTAACACTCCATGTACTCTGCAAAGTTGCTTTCCCTATTTGATGTCCCACAGCAACTTGGATCTGGGTTTCCATAATTGGCCAGTGACTCATGCTTGATCTTAGCTCAAAGGATGAGAAACTGACCATTCCTTAGATTTAAAAATCAGACAGGGTCAATGAGATTTTCAGTCTTCCAGGTCATGGTTGTCTGAAAAGTGTTTTTTCAAGAGGCAACTGGACTTCCTTGCTTTTTCTTTGAAGGCGTTTTGCTTCTCATCCAAGAAGCTTCTTCACCTCTGACTGGATGGTGTGATGTGGAAGGATTTATATCCCTTGCCGGTCTGCCATGCTGAGGTTATCACAAAATGCATTTTATCTCCTTGAATAAAATGCAACAGTATGCAGTCTAAGGTTTGAACTTAGAGCAAGTTGAGTTAAGAGATTTATTATTTTTATTTTAGTTTGTCAAACATGTAAAAGATAACAGGTATAAGTATAAACATAAATATGAACACAGTAAATGGGTAGGAATAAATGGAGATAGTAGGACAGGGATGATGGGCACGCTGGTGCGCTTATACAGACCTCTTAGGAATGGGCTGAGGTCAACAGTAGACAGTTTAAGGTTAAAGTTATTGGGGTTTGAGGATGTAATAACAGAGTCAGGTAGTGCATTCCAGGCATTGACCACTCTGTTGCTGAAGTCGTATTTTCTGCAATTGAGTTTGGAGCGGTTTACCTTGAGTTTGTATCTATTGAGGTTGAAGCTGAAGTAATCATTGACAGGTAGGACATTGTAATGGATAATTTTGTGTACTAAATTTACCCTAACCATAATTACCTGTGAGAGTTCTCAATTGAGAGGGAGCAAACATGATTTCAAATCTGACCAGGGGTCACTACTGCCGGTTTGCTCGTGCCCACACCCCATATGCGACTGATGTGCGCTGCGCACGCATGCATAGTGCAATAAAAAAAATTCACTGCACATGTGCAGAAGCAAAAAAGCGGAGAACCAGTTCAGGGGCATGGCAGGCCTGGGTTGCTGCTGGTTCCAGCGACTCAGGCCGCCAAACCACTACTGCTGTGGCCGAACCAGGCCAAACCGGTAGGAATCCACCTCTGAATCTGACCAAGAGTCCAACTAACTGTCCTGCTCAGAGAGCCAATGACAAAATGGGGCTGATGGCCTCCAAGAAAAAAAAAGATCCAAATCAAATTGCAGGCTGAAGAATTGCAAGCATATTTAACAAGAGAAGGCTTTATAGATTGCACAGAATGTATATAATTTCATGCATAACGATGTCAGGATTTAGACATTTAAATAGCCTTGGGAACTCTTGGCTCATCACATTAAAGTGATACTTTTATAAAGGAAACATTAAATTGATCATTAAGGTTTACTGAACAAGCCATGATTGCCTAATTTTTTTAAAAAATCATATGCTTAGTTTATATACCGTGGGAAAGCCTCCTACTTAATCATGGTTTATTGAAGGAGACTGAGTTTACAAAACATAATTACCGTAACACAAATTGGTTTTGGCACTTTGCCCACTTTGTCAACCAAGACAAGGGCCTCTTTGCCTTACATGGCAGAATAGTCTCATCTCCATTTGAGGTTTACAAGATGCTATATAAAAACATCAGCTGGTTTCACACAAAATGTGAATCTGCTGAACGAAAGCTTTAATTCTCAATTTCATTGGAGGTGACAAATACTATCGCAAACTTGCATAGATCTTATGTCAGTTTCAGTTACGGCAGCTCTCTTGTTCAAACCCACATAGTTAACTGCCAATCACGCTGTCCAAGAAGGTAGCAAATTTTTCTGGTTGTCCAGGAACAAATGGCTTCAGAGTAGAGAAATCCATCGATTTGAGCGTCTCCACAAGAGTCCTATGAAAAAGGGAACAATCATCATAACCAATCAAAATTACCATGAAATATTTGTTTTCTCGAATCTGTATCTTGGTTTTCCTATAGTCTATAGCAGTGGTGGGTTCTAGATCCTGTTGCAACTGGTATGATGCAACAGGGCCCGGTGTCCACCACATGAATGCGTGCAGCACGCACGCACACATGCGCAGGGCACACATGCATCTTTACCTCCTGCGACGCTCTGTGACAGCTCCGCGACACTCCAGCTGCTTGACGGAGCGTCGTGCAGGCGCCATACGCTCCGTGCACGTGTGCGGAAGTGTTGAAGAGCTCAAATACAGGTAAGGAGGGTGGGCGGACGGGCCCTCCGGAGCATCATACCGGAACAGTACCCTGTGCTCCCAGCAGGCACCGGTATGCCCATACAGGGGCGTACCGCCTGCAACTCACCACTGGTCTATAGTCAAAAAAAGAGCTGCCCGAAGAATTAAGGATATAGAAGCACAAAATGATATAGCTACCCTTAGTAAGGTGGGTAACCTGAAATGGCTGAGCAAATACAAACATACTTTTCAAGTAGACAGCTATTTGAAGTTACAATGGCCAAAGCATCTTAGGGAGATATTTATGGGAGCGAGATTCGAGCAGCTTGACACAATAGTCAGATATGGGAGATTCCACTCTATACCCTACAATGAGCGTCTCTGCATTTGCGGAGCAGCAGAGATAGAAGACTTGGCTCACATCCTATTGGATTGTTCCTTGTATAAGGGGTGGGTGGGAGACAGGTACCTTGGTCTATATACCAAACGAAGGACCCTACAGGATCCCCATATCAAAGCAACTTACCTTATGTGAGGCCAGAACCGGAAAATAACATTTAACACAGCACAGTCCTTAATCAAAATGGTTTGGTTGAGATCTGCATATGTGGGACTGATTGGGGTAGATTGCAGGGGTGACACCGAAATATAATTTAATGTCATTTTATTCTATTTTATATATTTATGTATTAAATTATATTGTATTTTATCCTATAACTATTGTATTTTACCTTACTCTTATTTTAAGCTGTTTGTATAAGATTTTATTGGCGGTATGTGTTTAGACCATGTGCTTTGATGTGGCCTACAGGCTAATCAATAAAGCTATCACATCATATAGTCTTGGACTAAGTGGTCAAGATATTGTAAGACTTCACATCAGCTATAGAAAGAAATATCAGGTATCCAGGAACTCAGCACCACATAATCAAAATTTCTGTGAAAAAAGCTGATTTATTGTAGAAAAGAATATGCAAGAAGGCTTGGAATCAATCTCTTTGCGAATTACCATATTTTTAGGAGTATAAGATGCTCCCCCCCCCAAAAAAAGATGGTGAAATTTGGGTGCATCTTATACACTGAATGTAGCCCCACCCACTCACCACCCCCCACCCTTTGGCCTCTGCCTCCCAGCAATTTACCTCCTTGCAGCAAATGGAGAAAATGGTGCTTGCGAAGGCTGCAATAGGCTATAGCAATCCCGGCAGCCTGAAACAGCTGATGATCGGGAGGCAGCAAATTCCTGGCAGAAGCAGATTTTTTTTTCTTGTACTAATCAGGCTGTTTGCTATTTGCTGCAAGGAGGTAAGTCAATAACTATCAATGCCTATATAATGTTCAAATTATTAGACATATATTTTAAAGACTGATTTATTATTGCTCTAGACAGCAAAATGAAGAAGCTTTTTAAAATAAATGCTTGATCTGAAGAGACCCAGTGCTATTGTATCTTCTTTTAAATAGCAGAGAATAACTATACTTCCAGAAAGCACATCAATTTTAACAGCTTCTGTACAAGTATAGTCTGAAATGTAACACTACAAACAGTGTACATTGTCAGTACTGTTTGCTGTTTGTTGCAAGGAGGCAAATTGCTGGGAGGCAGAAGCAGATCCCCCCCCCCATTGTTTTCCTCCCCAAAACAACTGTGCTAGTCGTTCCCGACTCTAGGGGACAGTGCTCATCTCAGTTTCAAAGCCGAAGAGCCAGCGCTGTCCGAAGACTTCTTTGTAGTCGTGTGGCCGGCATAAGTAAATGCCGAAGGTGCACAGAATGCTATTACCTTCCACCAAAGGTGGTCCCTTTTTTTCTACTTGCATTTTTAATGTGCTTTTGAACTGCTAGGTAGGCAGAAGCTGGGACAAGTAACTCACTCCGTTACGCGGCGCTAGGGATTTGAACTGCCGAACTGCCGATCTTTCTAATTGACAAGCTCAGCATCTTAGCCACTGAGCCACCACGTCCCTTCTACCCCTCCACTTACAAACAGTTAATTCAGTGACCATTCAAACTCTTAATGGCACTGAAAAATGTGACTTATGACTGTTTCTCATAATTAGGATCTTTGTAGCATCCCCATGATCACGTGATCA